CTTTAATAAAGATTTTTTCATAAATCGGCCTACTACAAGGGAGACAACAATGAAAAAAACACTCCCTCTCGACATTCGGACAGAATTAACCTCACTCTGTTAGATTTAAACTGAGTGCTCTCAACTTGAAAGTATATCCACATTCCATTTTATCGTAAGCTTCAATAATGGCCTTGTATACCAACAATATCGGAAGGATCTACGGAAATATAGTGCACTGATCGAGCTCAACAGGGTCCTCGACAGCTCATGGACCACAATGACGTAATATGAAGCGCTGATTGGCAGGGGCATTGCACATTCAGAGCTACAATCTCTGGGAAACTATTCACCAGTAAATCGTTTCATAAAATCAGACAGCAGCTTCAGATTAAAGCGATTACGGTAAGTCCTCCTGAGCTCGACGCGATGACAGATGACGTCATATTCTGAAGACGGTGAGGGCAGTGAGGGAACACTTGCCGCATTTATAGAGGACGTTTCAGTTATACTTCGCCGTTGAACTTCCGTCAACGGCAGTAATCGGTACGACGGAAAAATCGCTGAAGTGCGGGATGAGCGCTTTTTCCGAATCTCCCCCACCTTATATTAGATGTTGGCATTAGCAAGTAATGCGTGTGTGATCGGCTCGACCACAATCCAGTCCAGTGGTCAGTACGGGAGAGGTGTGAGGGCCTGTTACAGCTAGTCATCTAGTATTTCTGCTCTTTCTTAGAGCAAATTCAAGAATGATTGGCAGAAATGATCAATTCATATGTTAGATCAATTCGAAACTGCAAACCTTGTTTTGACGTCACGACTCAAACTTGTGGGATTGAGCTTCTCATGACCTATGGTCCACTTCCTTCGCAGAATTCTAGTACATTCCTTGAAATCTACTCCAAAAAATGCGCACCTGGTTCCATGAAATTCCGTGACTCACTTACTCTCTTCATTGTTGAAGCTAGGGCTAGCTCCCTTCATTCTCGAAGCCTCGACCAACACATAGACTACTGTGGAATGCGTCATTGAGATAAAAGCTTAAAGGCACGCTCCGCGATCAGGCGGGCTCGCCTGTTCCATCCAGGGGTAGTAGGCAGGTGGACAAGTGTTGATGTCGCGCCCCTTTTGCGGCTTGAAAGTGCGCGACAAAGGCGCAAGGAGCTCGTCCACCCGCAACTCACACCTTCGTCCGCAAGCCCCACCCTCCGCTGTCGGTTGCCACGTGGCGCTGCTTGAAAAGCGCGGGCGCATTTGAGGCAGCGGTCCCAGCGCGATCCAATGTTATTGGCACTGGAGCAAGTAGAGTTAGGTTCGTGAAACTCGTCCAATTCGCCTCTTCTCTATCCCAAGGTGGAATGTGGCTGAAATAGGGGAGGTCTCTGTACGGGGCGTAATCGGTGGTTTCGTTTGCTTTCCTTCTCTTTTACAGACCACCTCCCACCTATAGCTTCATAACTGAACGCTTTTCCACACCTATTTTATCCCGAATCTTGTCTTTAACTTGCTCAACCACACACGCTCTGATTTATCGTGCCTTTGATAAGAGTGCGAATGACAGAAAACAAGGCAAGTGCAAGGACGTCTGACAGATGTTTGGTCCACTAACTAGACAAACACCTTTCTTTGACTTTTGCTTTTCTTGCTGAGCTCCAATAAGGAACAATTAAGGTCACGGTCAGCGAAAAGGTATACGGAGGACGATCTATAAAAAAGAGACTTTTCGCTCCACATCCGGACGTTATCACGGAGTTCCTTTCCAACGGGGTTTGGTAACTATGGCATTAACTCTGACAGGCAAGCATGAATGGACAAAATCAACACATTTGCCATTTCTTGGAACATATGTCATTCCTCTTACCCTCCCGATCAACGGTCATTCGGAAAAAGGGACGCACTTGGAGGGTGGAGTATGTCGATGAGAAATGGAGTAGGGAGAGGAAGGTAACTGTGATGTTAGGGCCTTGTATGCTGATTATCGGACAATACTCGAATCATTAAACTTTATTCTAACACCATCACAAGACCCCCGAAAAGAGCTGTTTTATCAATTCGCTCTCCAGATTATTCTCCTTCCTATAGCCTTTTGGCTTACAACATTACTCTTTTCAATTTTGCAGCAAAGGGTCTATCGAATACGGTAGACTCGGTCAATACATCAGTCCAAATGACTTTGGTGCTTGGAACCAATTCACCGATTTTATTGAAAGGTTTGTTTTGAAGTTACTCATGAATGTCAATCTTTTTCAATAATGTCGACACTAAATTATTATTAGGTTGTCTCATAAGTAGTGTCGCTTTTTTTAAACCAAAAAAATTTCACCTGAATCCTGATGCTTTTACATCGTGTTATATACCATTCGAAAGAGAATTATCTGCTCTACAAGATGTTATGTTTCCCTTTTACCTATGTTCCACAGTTTTGAATTTTTAGGCCTGCGAAATGGGAGGTCCAGCCGACAAAAATTGACCAAACCGACAACTATCTCTAACTTTATCTTCCCTTGGGAGAAATCAATCAATGATGTACCCTCTACTTACACATGACCTCTTCTTAACATTACACTATTAGGTTTCCCAACAAGTCGCGTCGCTTCCATTTCCAGACCTGGTTTTTCAACCAGAACTCGACGGTCGAGCACCATTACCTGAGATCTAGGTCGAAATTTTTTTATAGCCGAGACATTGAAAAACTAGTAGAATTCAAAGAACAAGTCATGACTAAGTTAGGAATGTACGCCTGGTTGATTTTCTCATCTTCTCAGGAATAATTTTTTTCAAAGAAATGCGGTCACTTTCGCGATAAAACACCTTATTCCTAAACACCTAAAATTCGAACTAATTCCCAACAAACATAAAAACAAAACAAATGAGCGAATAGAGCAGAAGAAGTGCTCACAAAAGGAACACCACTCGATATGAAACAATGGCGTTTACGAGGAACAATTTTAATTTGAAAATTGCTATGGCTTATCCGTCAGCCAATTCGAAAAGAAACAACGGCAAAGCTTTTTCGGCAACCTAAGAGTGGAATGTTTAGAAGAGGTCATGAGTAAGTAGAGGGTACATCATTGATTGATTTCTCCCCAGGGAAAATAAAGTTAGAGCTAGTTGTCGGTTTGGTCAATTTTTGTCGGCGGGACCTCCCATTTCGCAGGCCTAAAATTTGAAAACCATGGAACAGAGGTGGAAGAAGAACATAACATCTTGTAGAGCAGACAATTCTCTTTCGAATGGTATATGACATGTGTAAAAGCTTGAGGATTTAGAAAGAAAATTTTTTGTTTGAAAAAAGCGACACTATTATGAGACAACCTTAATACAATGAGGAGCACTGGTAAAATCGGGTGATACCTAACTGAACGGAATAGAAATTATTAGTGACGAAATAAAACATTTATCATTGCCTGCAAGCGGATCCACCTAACACTCATATTTTTAGGTATGGCAAGGCCTACAGCAACGAAAGTGAAGCCCTGAAGCGGTTTCGGATTTTCAAAAAGAACTTGGAGGTACACTTACACAATATTTCGCCTACACCTGTGACCAGATACATTCATGTCAATCTAGCATATAAGGCATAAGATTGTATGGCAGAGACCTAGCTTTCGCTGAGATCACTGTGCTCTGCGCCTTGTACAAGTCCTGATCGATCAAGAAGCTTCCATACTTATAAGGCGCCATCGCTGATTACTACCCAACATCCGGCGTCCCTTGAAGATTTATTCCCTCCCAAAACGAAGCTACGAAAATGATGTACGAAAGGATTAACGTAAGGTTGAATAGCCCGGTGACCCATGTCAATCCTTTTGTTGGCAGTAATGTTGAGTTTGTTCAGGGTGTGTGATTGCATTTAGTATAGCACATTGTTATTTTCTTTTCCCACGTCTACCTTATGTAGCGTATGAACAAATAAATAAATAAAAAAAAAGGTAATGAAATAGTTGGATTGGCAGCACCTATCAACTACACCAGTAGTACAGCGCTTGATGAGTTTTCTTTCCAGGTAATTCGTAATATGCAAGAAAACGAACAGGGAACAGCTGTTTACGGAATAACGCGGTTCTCTGATCTTTCACCGGAAGAATTCAAGAAGGTCTCTCTTATGATGTACACTTTTCAGAATTGTTCAGAGGCTTCGTAAAACATCCTAAAGATTGTGCTCCCAGATCTATGCATTCTCCTATAACAGCAGGTGCGCAAGCGAAAAAGCGGTGCGGAAGTGATACGCAGCACTCATTGTTGTAACCACTCAGAGTGGTACATGTTCTGGGTAACGTAATGTGAACAAGAAGTTTCTGTTCAAGGGAAGATTTCACGATAAAGTCGAAGAAGTGGAAAACTAACTAGTTGAAAAACGGGCAACCTTCCTGCGGGTGCGAACCAACAACCATTTCGAATCGAAGGATGTTCCTCCGGGATCTAGTATGGCCCTCTCGCGGCGATTTCGGCCCCAACTGGGTAGCCACTTGCCGCAGCTCTCTAACCGTTCAGCAGAGAAAGCACTAGCATTGAAGAAGGCAGTACCAATGAGAGTCGCATCGGAGTGGAAATCAACTTGTAAGATCCCATTTTAGAGTTCTGAGGCCATTTCTCCTGGTTTTTTCTTCATCCCAGAACCACTGACCACCTCTACCTAGATTCTAATAGGCAGTCTTCTTGTCACAAACTCCGCCTTCGAGGTTAGCACAAGTAGAGCTACAAAGAAAGTTCAGTTGAATTATCCAGCCATTCAAATTGAGATGTGCACCCACAAGCGTGTCTCGAAACTCTTCTTCTCTGAAGAAGTTGTTGCAGAGAAGAAAGTGCCTGAGAGTTGGTGCAGAGCACGACGATTCCCATCTGGAAGAAGAAGGGCAGCCCCGCAGACTGCACGAGCTACCGTCCAATTCGTCTGCTTTCCCACAGCATGAAGATATTTGAGCGAATTGTAGATCGTCGTATTCGTGACATAGTGCAGCTCACCACGAACCAGTGTGGATTTGTAAGCGGCGTTAGTACCATCGATGCCCTACATGCCGCTCGTCTACTGTTAGAAAAACACCGCGAGAAACGGAAGCCTCTGCATTTTGCCTTCCTAGACTTAGAAAAGGCTTTCGATCGCGTTCCGCGTGATGTAATATTGTACGCTTTGAAACACCTGCCGTCACACACAGACGTGCCTGGAAGAAGGCCCAAGGGACGCCCAAAGCAGCGCTGGCTGATACGTTGCATATGGACTTGAAGTTAGCTGGTATCCATCCCCGATCAAGCATTCAATCGGGAAAAGTGGCGTCAACATATCAGAAAAGCGGACCCTGCCACCAAGCGGGACAAACGCTAAAGAAGAAGAAGAAGAAGCGTGCCTCGAAACGTTGAGTTCAAATCTGCTATCGTACCTGCTTAACGAGTTCCTGAAAGAATTATGGGCATGAAAGCATAGCGGTAGTAATCCGGACTCACAGACAAGAGGTCGTCAAATCGACCTCAAAGCGAGTCCGCACTTTTTTCATTGAGAATATAGCTAGACTAACCTCAACCATCCCGTTAATTCCATTACTGCTTGCCTACATAGGCCCGTATCCAGGAGCAAATGATGCTTGAACATCTGAGGAACAGCTCGCAGACCTTCCATACGAGCAAGTACAGGCAAATGTTGTTGAGGTAGTATCGATATCGAAAGCCTCAATCTCACGACCACTCAGCTGTGAGTCAGGGTCACCACAGCTGCGCTATCCAGCTTCATGACTTCTTTTAAGAATTTGTTCCACGGACAACGAAAGCAGATTCGATCAGCGTTCTGGGGGAGGGGAAGTGTCCGTATAGGCAACGCATATCATAAATTACAATTTGTGGATCAAAACCAACGAAAATTTTCTCAATCGAATAATCTTTACAGATTTATCTGCCGTATACATGGAAACAGCCAAATAATCCGAAACGAATCGTAAACTTAGTCGCTGAAGGAGTGGATCCGAAGGAGCCACTGCCAAAATCATTCGACTGGAGAAAACATGGCGCAGTTACCGAAGTTAAAGATCAAGGTATTGCTCTATTTCCTATCACAGAGTTCGAAATTATCATATACTCAAAAGGAAGTAGTAAGATCATCTCAAGATTTTCCGAGAGAGCGCTCGTCTACCTGATTTTTAACTTCGCGTACTCTTGCGATATGGTTGAACAAGTCGTGGTATATCACCTATGCTTTCCAAACGGACATCTTCCCGAAGAAACGGGACTCAGGTTTCGGCCTCATTCAGGTCGAAACATCTGGCCTGTGATCATCCTGGCTTCGGCGACAATTCTCTGGACGCTGACTTCAGGGGGCTAATGTGCGAAAAGAGGACTCACATACTGTGTCGTTCTTCGGCCGAGCATTTTACAGAGATAAGATTTTTCTAGCATCTCCTTGGTGGTCCACGTTCCACGCTGCCGTTTAAAAGGCTTAGTTGTTAGGCCATGTTTAGAAGGCCATGTTAAAAAGAATGGGGCAGATTTTTTATTTGACAGTTTCGCATACGTATCTTGATGTGTGTTGCCAGGCTCTGCGGTGAGGCCTGGGGTAAACTCATACGCCTTCCAGGCGAGGTCGAACTATTCGTTGTTACTTTTGAGAAAAATTTTTTTTACGTACCCCCCCCCAAGGTGGATTTGATCACCACCCCCCCCCCTTCCACGGCCTCGGAGCGACTTTCTTAGTATTTTGATTCGGGGCATACTATCGACCCCACAAACTCCGCCGCAATTTTGTCCTCAAAATGCCGGTCACGCGGGGGCCGAGCGGGTGAGGGAGGTATGATAGCCTACTCTAAAACACTAAAAATTCCATTTCAAGCGACTGAAACGGGTACGACCCCCCTCCTACAAACTCAATCAAGTACGCCCCCCCCCCGTTGTTACTAGTAACAACGTAGGGTTGGCAATGCTAACAGGTATTCTCAATGAGTTAACTGGAAGGATTAGAAGCCTGCTTAAGTCGCCTGCATCAGGGTTAGCACGTGATGGCTTCTGAACAGCAGTGCGCTCCTGCCCCCCGCTTGTATCGCTGCGCAGCCTCGTCGCCAAGCGGCAATACCATTCAATAAAAGAGGACATTTGGTGGAGAGATACAGGAGTATTTGTCGTTGTTGATACAATTTCTCGAGTCGCATTCTTCAAGCACTCAGTTCTCCCAATTAAAATCGGTGCGGCACAGTTCTCTTTTTCAAGGAACTTGAAACCTAAGAGTTGAATTCGTTTCGATAGAGTTCAGTAGAACTGTACAAGATGGAGAATAAGCTTCAGGTCAGTGTGGAAGCTGAGCTGTTGGGCGTTTTCTGTCACAGGAAATATCGAAGGCCAGTGGTACCTGGCCAAAAAGGAACTTGTGTCACTTTCGGAACAACAGCTCCTCGATTGTGATACCGTTGACTGGGGATGTAACGGTGGACTGCCTATCAACGCTTACCAGTTAGTTTATGCTTTTGGGCCTTTCTGTGTTGACAGATATCTTTGAATAGTAATGTTGAGATTCGTTACGAAGCTTCTCGGGTATTCTTGCAGTAGGAACTTCCTGTTATGGGCTACAGAAGAGTGACAGTATGTGCTGCAGACACGCCCACCCGTCCGTAATTGATCAGTTCACGCGTGCAGGCAGCTACGCGCCTGAGCCGATTACCACGAGTGGACATGAGAGCAGAATGTACTGTCGCCTCTGGCAGCGTGCATTTCGTAGGATTCACCTGCCGAACGTTTTATCGAACACTTTCTCTCTTGTCATGGATACGTGCTTGCAGTTGTGGATGAGGGCTCGAGCAGACAACTAATGTGCATGGTATGAGGGTAGGTAGGAGAGCTTTGGCCACCGGAATCCAGTAAACCGGTAGGCGCCAGTTCACAACTAATGATTGTCTCATAGGGAGATCATTCGCATGGGCGGCCTGGAATCGGAAGACGATACCCGTACGAAGGCGAAGGAAGAGCAATGTCATCTTATCCGCTCGGTTAGTTCTAGTTTTCTTAGCATATAAAATATACAATGTATTATTACCTGATGATCTCTGCAGATATCAATTGTTTTATCACTTAACTAATTAGGCTTTCACTTAAGTAAATTATAAGCGCTTTCTTAGGGAAGAGTAGTAGTAAATGGCCTTTAAGTGGAGGCGGTTAATGCAGAAAGTGGGATTAATACCGTAGTCCAACTTTATTACCAGATTTTGGATGGAAAGCAACATTTTGAGATTACCGTAAAACCCAAAGCCGTTGCCAGCGATAGCATCACGGAATGTGACGGGAAAGTAGAGCGGTGTCTAGTTATTGAAGGAAGCTATCTGTTCATCTACATTGCATAGAGATAGGAACCGGTCATATCGCATAAGCTGACAGGCTTCTCTATGCTGTAGGCTCATGCATTTGAAATCATTTGTAGAAAAGAGCCTTCTGCACAGGTTGCACAAGAATGTTGGGGGGTTGCGAACAAAAGTTGCTCGCCAGGCGAACAAAACCAGCCCTCGCGCTTCCGGGCAAGTGAGCTACCAGTTACGCTGCTGCTAAAGCTTTCAGCCTCGCGGTCATTGCCGATATCGGCTAACCGGCTCAACACGTTAGACGTGTGAGTGCTGAAAGCTATGGTACGTATACCATGAAAAGCTGAGTTGGAATGAAATGGTGCCCCGGTAGCGTAACTGGTAGCGCACTTGCCCGGAAAGCGAGAGGTGCGGGTTCTAGTCCCGCCTGGGGCGAAAGTTTTGTTCACAACCCAGCATTCTTGTGAAACACCCTTCCAGGAGCGAACTGCGGCCAATAAGCGGCCAAAAAACAGCAGTCAAACAAACAAAACTTATGCGCAGGGTTCCGCTACATTTCTAGTGCCGTTTTGATTTCTGGGCTATTAGAGCGATTCCCATACCACTACCGACATCTTGATACTCTAATAGTTGCCTTCGAAGTACAACGTGGTGCAGAATTATGGAAACCAGACAAGCACATAAAACCTTCAACATTTTGAGCACTCTGATTTTCAAGGAAACTTTTTGTTGCTAAGTTGTTACAGTTCCCCTCAATTCCCCTGGATATTCTGACTTTTACTTTTGGGATCATAAAGGTTTACTGAATTAAAATCAACCCTCAAAACTATGAAGGATGTCTCAAGCAGAACAAAAAAAAAAGTTCTACCCGGCGAAGATCCTGGCTCCCCAGCACAGGCCCCTCCTGGCAGACATTGCGATAGACCTCCCCAAGAAGACAAGGGTAAGAACCGAGAGGAGGAATCCGGTGGTGGAAGCTGCACCAAGCGGAGAAGGATGACCTCAGGCGAAAGATAATATGGAAGTCGGTCTCCCAGATCCTAACGGGCCAATACAGCGGACTTGGGGCAGCGCGGCTGATACCATCCTGCGATGTGCCAAGGAGGTACTGGGCGAGACGCGAGGTGGATTCAGAGGAGACAAGGCAGCGTGGTTCTGGAACGAGGAGGTCCAGCGAGTCGTGAAGCAGAAGAAGGAAGCATACAAGCGCTGGCAGAAGACCCGGAGCCCCGAAGACCTCGCCACCTACAGGAGTTGCAAGAGGCTCGCTAAGGCTGCTGTCGCCAAGGCGAAGAACACGGAAATGGACGCCTTGTACGAGAAGTTGGAAAGCAGAAACGCAGAGAAGTTCGTCTTCAGACTGGCCAAAGGCCCGGCATCGGGCTACCCAAGACATCAGGGTGGTGAAAAGTGTAAAAGGCAGCGATGGTGTCATCCTAAGGAAGCCAGCCGAAGTCAAGAGGAGGTGGGAAGAGTACTACGGTGCACTTCTAAACGAGGAGTTCCCCCACGAGAACAACTCACGGGCAGAGGCCACAGCTGGTCCCATCGCACTCTGGACTAAGGATGAGGTTAGGTGTGCACTTGGGAGGATGAAGGTTGGAAAGGCGGTTGGCCCAGATGGGGTGCCAATCGAGGCATGGAAGGCGCTCGGAGAGTACGGCATAAGGTGGCTCACCAGCTTCCTGAACAAGGTAACAGTGGAAGGAAAGATGCCGGATGCATGGAGGACAAGTACCATCGTCCCATCTTCAAACAGAAGGCGACGAATGGACTGCGTATAACCATGAAGTTGCATGAGCGCCTGGTCGACTCGAAGCTGCGGGAGCTGGTCCCGATCTCCCAGGAACAGTTCGGGTTCATGCCCGAAAGGTCTACAACGGATGCCATCTTCATCGCAAGGCAAGTGATGGAGAAGTATCGAGAAAAGCGCCGACCCTGCTACCTAGCCTTCCTCGACCTGGAGAAGGCGTTCGACCGGCTACCGCGAGCAGTACTATGGAGAGCGCTCAGGGAACGGAACGTGCCAGAACACCTGATCTCGCTGGTGAAGGACATGTACGAGGGGGCCAAAGCAGCCATACGCACCCCTCACGGCCTAACAAAGGAGATAAACATCTCCTTTGTTAGGCCGTGAGGCAGGGACATAATGATGGCTGAATGGCGACTGTTCTTGATTCCACTTGATTCATATTCAGTGTCTTCAATGCTTCAATAAATGGGATATACCATAGACAACAGCCGGTGTTTAGAGGGGGCAGCGGTTCGTGAAGTTAGACCTGGCCCCCGCAAGTCATTGTATAGGCCACATCGCATTCAAACGCCACTACGAATTTACAAATGGAAGTAGAATGCAGTGCCGCATCCCAAAAAGGGATTGATCAACGGCAGAATGCTTTATCCTTTTCCTTTTATCCTATGTATTATGATCAATTAATAGCCTAAACATAAGTGTTGCAGAATATCTCCGTTTACATTAACGACTCAGTCGAGCTGCCACACGATGAGGAACAAATGAAAGCGTGGGTGTTTAAGAAGGGGCCGATATCGATAGGTCAGTCCCAAATTTACTGTACCTCTGTTTTTTTTCGGATTATCTACCTGCTTCTTGAGGTGTAAGAGGAAGGGGCGGCTTTCACGCAACGGCTGTCGATATATAAAGAAGTCCTTTTTCTGCTATCCAGGCTCTCGACTGACTCTGACTTGCAGGCGGGCCAGGGTCAATCGTCACGTTGGACCGACTTTCTAAAATTTTACGACCCCCCTCCTGGAGAGCCTGGATACGCCCTGAGAGGCTACACCCTGAGACTTTGCCTAGGATTTCCAGAACCTATACCGCGATGGGCCTAAGACTGTCCGAGACTATCTAGCAAATGTGTCATGGTTCTTTTGATCTCGCAGCTCTCACAAACTACTTCATATGCAGCGGGCCAAAAAACACCACTTTGCCCATGGTGCATATCATCAAAACTTTTCGTCGCAAAGGATGCCGCTGTTATTGGGAGTTATACGGCAAAATATTCCTTAGATGTCCTTCCCATAAGCAGAATCAGGCCCACCTTCGCTGCCTTCACCGTCTCCAGAATATGACGTCATCTGTCATCACCGTCGAGCTCAAGGAGGCCTACCATAATCGCTCCATTCTGAAGCTGCTACATAAATTCTTCAATCGGATAACTGGTGAATGGCTTTTTTAGGGACACTAGCTCTGACTATGCAAATGGCTTTTGACCAGCGTTTCAGAGACGTCGTAATCGTCTATGGTTTCTCGACGACCTCGTTGAGCTCGTACCGTGCAACCATGTTTCCGTGGGAAAATCTTCTGATGTCGGCCGGTGTGGAAAGCTCTTCTTCTTCTCCCTAGCGTTAGTCCCGCGCAGTCGCAGGGTCCGCTGTCTTTGTCAGTCGTCGCCACTTCGCTCTGTCCAGGGCATCTCTGCTGTGGCCATGACTTCACTTAGGTCCTTCTTGATCACGTCTCTCCATCTCTTCTTTGGGGCTCCTCCATCGCGTCTCCTGAAGGCATAGGACTTGGATATTCCTGCGCGTCATCAGATCAGCAACCTCTCGGGACTTCCCAGTTAGCGATCCTACGTTCAGAGTCCCAATTCGAACTAGCTTCTTTGGCCGAGGCCGTTCACTCCTCGGTAGCCCTCGCATACTGACCACAGAACTCGGGCGGGGGTTCTGCGCGCCACTTCCGGGTGACGTCCTAGCTTTATCACTGATTCTTTTCGACTTTAGACATGTTTGGTGTGACTGGGGTCTTCATCAGCCGGCCTGTCAACCTGGGCCTGACGCTGGTACTAGAACCATTTTTGCAATTTTTGCAAGGCATGGTTTAGAGCCTCGGCAGGGATCGAACTCGCGGTTTTTCAGAGGTGCAGACATGAGTCTAACCTCTTAACCACTCGGCTATCCCTGCCTTGGTGTGGAGCCCCTCTATGTAATTTTTTGATAGAATAGAATGTGCTCTTCAATATGCAATTGAGCTCATTCGGTTTGGTTTTGGCAAAGTGTAATTAATTCTGCTTTTGAATGTGAATGAAAGTGACTCTTTTTTTGCCCCCCCCCCCTGCATGTGTCATGTAAAGGTATTGCCACTTGGCATAAGGTGCTCCACTGTGTTCTAACAGGGAAAGCTTGAACGTTTTTTGGCTGGAGGCGGACACCAATATGACTTCAGGCCAGGCAAACCCTCTGAGAGCTAGAACAGAGCTGTCCACGAACATTACAAATGGGGAAGCTAGGACCTTCTCACAGTGCTGAAATGCGTTACAGCAGCGCCATGCCTCCAATTATCGATGCAGCTACATCAGAGGTGATAAGGCTAATCGTCGCGCTTAGTTGTTGGTATGTTGATTAAAGGCAAACCCCGGGATTAGCCCGACTAGTAGGAAGGATACCGCGAAGGAAATTGC